TCACGAATCTCTCATTTTGTGATACTGACATTCCTGTTTTTAAAGAAAAAAATAATATATGTATGTATCTATGCATATCTATATAAAAATGAATATGGCAAAATACTAAAAATTATTTATTCTTAAAATTGAAAAAATAGGTTCGTTTTTAAAAATTCCATAAGCAAACCAAAGCCCAGAAAGAGTTTCCATTTTTCCACGTTTTCCGTAGCATCTGATGGGCTGTTTCCCACGCGTACCCGTTCTGGTGGCTACACAGGGACATCACTCTGTAGTTTTGATTTGTATTTCCCTGATGACTAATGATATTGGACATCTTTTTATGTGCCTGTTTGCCATCTGTGTACAGCTTTTGGCAAAGTGTCTGTTCAAATATTTGCTCATGCTTTTTAATTGACTTGTTTTATTATTGTATTTTGAGGCGCCCTCCCTGCATGCTAGCTGCACGTGCTGTAGCAGCTGAGTGATGTGCGTCCAGTCTTTACCAGCCAGGGGCTTGTCTTCTCCTTTCTCGCTCTCTTGGGGTTTGGTCCGGCCCTGCCAAGGCAACAGTGGGTGGAACTTGGGGAAGGGGGATCATCAGAGCCTATGAAACGTTGTTATAAAATTAAATGCAATAAAAAAAATTGAAAAAGAAAAAAAGAAATTCAGTGAATCTATGGTAGGTTAATCTTTCAAGTTAATACTTTTTATGGCCTGTGAATTATATCATAAATACCCAAATGGCTCTTGGCCAGAAAAACAGTGACATTATACATATTTATTTAGTGGATCATGCTTTTCTTATCATATCTAAAAAAAAGTCTTTATGCCTAGTTCAACCCAAATCCTAGAGATTGTATGGACGCTTTATTGGTTTATAGAAATATTTATGATTTTATTTTTATGAATGGTATGAGGTACAAGTCAAAACTTTTTTTCCTATTTATTTCTGTATCATTTTTTTAATGACCGCTGCAACTTGGTTTGATACTCAGATGTATATTGGATTTTTTTCCTGGACCTTTTATTCTGATCCACTGATCATTTTTCTCAGTGATGTTATCTATACCTAATTTTTTTTTTAAGACTCAGACTGTAAATTTCCACCCAAAGCCTTGCTGCGATGTTTATTGGGGTTACCCTGAATATACATGTCTATTTGAAGAGAATTACCGTCTTCTGCGTGATTTCAAATCCCAGTGAGATTATTCAGGGCCTTGTAAACTTGAGTGTTTCATTTATTTAACATCTCTGAGCCCACTTTTTTCCATCTACAAAATGGAGGCAGTTATTTACTTATCTCTTTGGTAATGATAGAAATAAAACAAACCAACGTTTATAACAAACTTTGCTTTGTTTTCTCAGTACACGTTTAGTATACAAACTGCGTTTACAGGCAATAAAGTGCAGTGTTGTTTTTTCAAGTTTCAGACATAGCTTAGCGGAAATATCTTCATTCTAGCTTTGTAGTTGGACCAGAGTAATCCCTATGGTCCAAAGCCCTTATTTTAAGTACCTGGAACTGAGCCCCCCTCCCCCCCATTGAGTGACTTGCCCAGGAATCCTGGCCTGGCATGAGCAGGTGAGAACGTATTTTAAGTGTTAGCATAAGTTTGCATACTTAGCTCATTCAACACATATTTTGTCTAGTGCCTAATAAATGCCAGTCCCTGTATAGGTCCTCAGCTAGGCTGTTGGCATTTAGAGAAGCCTATTTTGTTATACCAAAATTTATGGTTCCCTGGCCATTGTAGACAAGCAGAGAGGCCATTTTAATTAGACTGATAAGTAAACTAAATAGAATGGAGATAACATAGTTGGAGAACAGGTAATGTCAGGGGTCAAGGAAGAAATTTCCTGAAGAAAATGATCTTGGCGGACAGCATAGTGATACAGCGGGTCAAGCTGCTGCCTGTGACTCTGTATCTCATATGGGGTCCTGGCTGCTCCGCTTCCTGTGCAGCTCCCACCTGGAAGACATTTCTGATTCCTGGCTTCCATCTTGCCCAGCTCCAGCTATTGCAGCCATTTGGGTAGTAAGCAAGAAAATGGTAGATTTCTCTTCCTTCCTCCCCTTGCTCTGTACATCTTTCAAAAAAATGAAGGCGACCTTGAAAATAAGGCCATGGTGGGAACTGGCAACAGTATCCAGGCTTGGAGGACAGAGCAGGGAGGTTTGGAATGGGGCAAATGGGGAGAAGTGAGTGCAGTTTCCTACTGTGTCCACATGTAGAGATGATGTTGTGTGCCTTATCAGGGAGGTCCGCTGTTGAGAAGCAGCAGAAGTGATGCGAGCTACTTTAGCTTTGTTCTAACGGCTTTCAGCAGTCAGTGTTGAGATCGGAGCTGCTTTTTCTGTGCAATGAACTGTGCATCTGAGTGAGCAGGATGGATGGGTAGCACACAGCCCTAGGTGCAGGTGGAGATGGAGGGATTCTCATTGGTTGTTGGTTACAGGAGATGTGTGTGCATGTTGATATCCATTTCTAACCTGAGTTGGTGGAAAACTAGGAAATACAGAGGATGGGTAGTGTGAGGTGTAAGAGGGGGGGTCACTTTGCCTCTGTTGAATTTCTGCTGATGTTGGTGGAAAGCCCGTCTGGAGACACAGATTCTAGGGGGTGATCAGTGTGTGCAGAGAGGGAAAGGGAAGTTGTGAGGGTGCCTGACGTCAGACCCAACTTGGAAACCTCAGATTTAAATTATGAGTTAAGAAGCAGCAAGTTCTGTTTGTGCATTGTGTAAGAGTCCGCTTCCTTTTTTCCCCTGGTCTCTAGTCACATTCTTGTTTTCTATTCCAAAACTGTCATCTTTGTAATAGAGGAAAATGCAGAAAAATAAGGATACCTGCTAATAATTCTGTAGTTGAATAATTGCTCTAAATGCCACTGTTAAGGGATTATCTTTTAATTATTCTTATTGGAATTAAAATTTAACTTTTTGAAAGTCAGAATTACAGAGAAATCTTCCATGCACTGCTTTACTCCGCAGATAGCCTCATTGGCCAGAACTAGGTCAACATGGAGCCAAAAGCCAGGAGCTTCTTTGGGATTTCCCTCGTGGGTGCAGGTACCCAAGGACTTGGGCCATCCTCTACTGCTTTTCCAGGCCATAAGCAGGGAGCTGGTTCAGAAATGGAGCAGCTGGGATGTGAATTAGTACCAGTATGGCATGCTGGAGCCACAAGTAGAGGATTAGGCTGCCATACTGTCACGCCAGCCTCCCATACTTAAGGGGGCATTTCAAAGAAGTGAGAATATAAAAAAAAATTTGTGTTTTGAAGCACAAAACAAAAACCAGAAACTGGGCCTGGTGCGATGGCTCAGTGGCTAAAGTCCTTGCCTTGCATATGCCAGGATCCCATATGGGCACCTGTTTGTGTCCCAGCTGCTCTGCTTCCCGTCCAGCTCGCTGCTGTGACTTGGGAAAGTAGTGAATGATAGCGCAGAGCCTTGGGACCCTGCACCCACATGGGAGGCCTGGAAGAAGCTCCTGGCTCTTGGCTTCAGAATAGCATGGCTCTGGCCATTGCAACCACTTGGGGCGTAAATCAGTGGACAGAAGATCTTTCACTCTCCTTCTCTCTGTAAATCTGCCTTTCCAATATAAATAGATAAATAAATAAAAAAGAAGTCAGAAGTAAGGGGCTGGCATTATGGCATAGTGGGTTAAATCATTGCCTCTGATACTGTCATCCCATAGGAGCAACTGTTTATGTCCCAGCTGCTCCTCTTCCCATCCAGCTTTCTAATGTGCCTGGGAAGGCAATGAAGGGTAACCCAGATGTTTGGATTCCGGCCAAATGTATGGAACACCTGGAAGATGCTCCTGACGTTAACCTGCTGTTGTGGCCATTTTGGGGGTGTGAATGAGTGCTTGGAAAATCTTGAATAATTTGCCTTTAAAATAAATAAGTAGATAAATAAATACATAAGTCATAAGTTTAAAGAATAGAGAAAATTAGGTCAGTTCGGTTGAGGGTGGTGAAGGTTGGTTATAGTACCTTGCTGCACCTGGATATCAGGTATACATGGGGCAGGCATGGTGGCCTAAGACTCATCCTCTCTCTGAAGTGCTGGTATCCCATATGGGCACCAGGTGCAGTCCTGCTCCGCTGCTGATCCAGCTTCCTGCTTATGGCCTGGGAAGGCAGTATAGGATGCTCAAGGCTTTGAGCCCCTGCACTTCTGTGGGAGGCCCAGAAGAAGCTCTGGCTTCCTGCTTCAGCTTGGCTTAGCTCTGGCCATGGTGGCTATTTGGGAGAGTGAAGCAGTCTGTCTCTCCTTCTAACTCTGCCTTATATATGTAAAGATAAGCAAATAAATAAAAAAATCTTCAAAATAAAAAGATAAATAAATATTATTTTTAAAAAATTAGTCTGGCCTCAGCTTGTGCCTGGAAATACTGCTGTGACCACGAAAAGAGTCTGTCGCATCTCTCGCTTGTAACACACAGCTGCTGTGCATGCATGCCTGGCAGGTAGTTTATAATAACTTTTTGGGAGAAAAATGATCACCACTGAAGCATACACTTATGATCACAGTTTAGCCGTCCATAAAGCAGAAATGATTACGTTCACTTGACCAGCTTCATTGGGTAATTTCTTAAGGGCCCATCAAAATAATGAAAGTTAAAACGCTTACAGTGTGTGGAAAATGCCATGCCTGTGTAAGATCCTGTTCTTATTGTGGATGCGATCTTATTTGTGAGCAGTTTCAAAAAGGGTGTGTGAACACCTGGTCACGATCTTCTTAGGAATAGCACCCATGTTCTCTTCATTATGTGGCAAAGCAGTCAGTGTTTTACTTGGATCGGTTTTAACCAAGATGATCAAACTTTCCTAACCAGGAAGCATGGCAGTGCTCAGATATTCAAGACAAATTAAAAGCAGTTTCTTTGTTCCAGATTATGTAACTCAGATCCCACATGCTGAGAAATGAATGCATGCATTGGCAAGCATTGGCTTCTTAAAAAAAAAATTATTTTCCAAAGTGATTTTCCTTTTTCTTCAATTTTAGGAAACAGATATCGATGACAGATATGGAGATTTGGATTCCAGAGCAGATTCTGATATTCCAGATATCCCGCCATCCTCAGATAGGACCCCCGAGATTCTCAAGAGAGCTCTGTCTGGGTTATCCTCAAGGTACGGCCAGGGGAGATGAGTGAATTTTGGTGCACAAGATAAGCTTTGAGGTTATCCTTGTCTGTGTCTGTGTGGTGTACTTGGCTTTTTGTTTTGTTTCGTTTTCTTGTAATTTGTGGGGCTGTGAGAGAGCAGGCTTATAATTTGACCACTGGCTGAATATGTGAGCCATGGTCCTAGCCTACATTTTGGCACAGTGGGTCACAAAAATGCTCTTCTTCCTTCCTTCTTATTTTTTTTTAAAGATTTGTTTATTTTTATTTGAAAGGCAGACTTACAGAGAGAGGAGACACAGAGAGAACTTCCATCCATTGGCTCACTCCCCAAATGGTCACAATGGCTGGAGCTGAGCCAATTGGAAGCCAGGAGCTTCTTGCAGGTCTCCCACATGGGTGCAGCGTCCCAAGTGTTTGGGCCGTCCTCCACTGATTTTTGCACACCAGAAGGAGGGACCTTACTGGGAAATGGAGCTGCTAGAACATGAACCAACAGTCCTATGCATCCTGGTGCTTGCAAGGGGAGGATGCCGATTAAGCCATTGCACCAAACCCTCTATTTGCCTATTTTCATGTGCTAGACAGAGGTATGTAGGACTGTAAAACTCCATAGTCCATGTTTTATGTTTGTGTTATATTTTTTAAGACTTAGTGGCCAGAGAATTTCAGCTAATTTTTAATTTTTAAAAATAGTCTTTATTATAATTTTTTTCAAACATTTGTTTATTTTACTTGAAAGTCAGAGTTAGAGAAGCAGGGTTCACTTCCCAGATGGCCGCAATGGCCGGAGCTGAGCTGATCCAGGCGAGATCCAGAGCCAAGCAGCCAGGACTTGAATTGATGCCCATGTCGGTTGTGAGCACTGCAGGCAGAGGACTAGCCTTTATGCCACTGCTCCAGCCCCTCAGCTCATCTGATATTACCCTTTACCGAATGCTTTAGTAATATGAACTCTAAAACTGATGAAAGCAAATGAAATGGAAGATTTTGTTCATCTGAACATGTGGAATCTTCTATATATCGCTGTGGAAGAGCAGTGTTTACAAGCTTTTCTTTTTGCCTGGGACACGCTATTAAGAAATGCATTTTACACCATGTTCCAGAAAATACACATATGTGCATCTGAACTCTTGCCAAAAGGGTTGTGAGGTCTGACCTGTCAGTCAGGGAACGACAAAACCTGCGGGGGTTCTGAGCCGGGAGCCCTGGCAGTGAAACCAAAGCACATGCCGTGACAGCAGTCATGCTGGAAGAAATTGGTTCACACCGAATTTTTCATCTTTTTAGCCAATTGATCTTTGTGGTCTTATTAAAAGCTTGACGATCATTTTAATAGTTTTTGTTCCCAGTTGTTTTCCTGACCTAGTTCACAGCTGTATCTTTGCTTTGAAAGTCTCACCAGGAATGTTTAAAGCTGGTGTTCTGTAGGAACCTTCAGTTGGATTCCTGTGCGTAATTCTAACCAAGTGGGGTTGTTTTTTCTGTTAAAAATAGCAGCTGCTAACATTTATTAGGCGACTGTACATGGGTGTATACTACATACTGTACTGCATGCTAGACCCCACAGCAGGCACTTGAAATAACTGAACTGGTTTATAACCGTAGCAACCCTGGAGTTAGAGTGTGTCTGCATTGCAGGTGAGCAAGCTGAGGCAGCGATGAAAGGTCAAGGGTCACCGAGCAGCCGATGATGGAGCCACATTCTGAACCCAGCGAGTGTCTGTGATGCCCGCGTTGTAGCTACTCGTGAGAAAATCATTTCTGAGTATGAGAAGTAGAGAGTAGAACAGTTGGGATCCTGTCAAGACTTCTCTAGGGCCCGGCGGCATGGCCTAGTGGTTAAATCCTCACCTTGAACGCCCTAGGATTCCATATGGGCGCCGGTTCTGTCCCAGCAGCTCCACTTCCCATCCAGCTCCCTGCTTGTGACCTGGGAAAGCAGTCGAGGACGGCCCAAAGCCTTGGGACCTTGCACCCATGTGGGAGACCCGGACGAGGTTCCTGGTTCCCGGCTTTGGATCAGCACAGTACTGGATGTTGTGCTCACTTGGGGAGTGAATCATCGGACAGGAGATCTTCCTCTCTGTCTCTCTTCCTCTCTGTATATCTGCCTTTGTAATAAAAATAAATAAATCTTTTAAAAAAAAGACTTCTTTACCAAGATTATGTATTTCAAAAATCTTTATTTGCTCCGTTTAGCCTCTTTTTAAGTTAATACCAAAGAGACCATCTTGCACAGATACAAGGGCAAACATTCTAATTCCATGAGGAACACACATGCTCTGAAGGGGAGAGAACTCAGATATCCACCTGCCGAGACACTGATGTTCGGAGTACTTTGGTGTGGACTCCTTGACGTTCCCTGGTTATGTGTTACTTCTCTGTGTGAGAGAGATGCAAAAATGTGATCATGCTGTTTCCTGCTTTGTTCTTTTTGTTTTCATTATTTTTAAAAGGTTTATTTTTAGAATTTATTATTTTTTTTATTACGAAGTCAGATATACAGAGAGGAGAGACAGAGAGGAAGATCTTCCATCCAATGATTCACTCCCCAAGTGAGCTCAACGGCTGGTGCTGAGCCAATCTGGAGCCAGGAGCCAGGAACCCCTTCCAGGTCTCCCACGCAGGTGCAGGGTCCCAAGGCCTTGGACTGTTCTCAACTGCTTTCCCAGGCCACACGCAGGGAGCTGGATGGGAAGTGAAGCAGCCGGGATTAGAACCGGCGTCCGTATGGGATCCTGGCGCATTCAAGGTGAGGACTTTAGCTGCTAGGCCACTGCACCGGGCCCTCTTTTTGTTTTCATATCATGCTGTTATTAGAAACATTTTGTATCATTAAATATTCTCCAGGATCATCAAAGGTGGTAGGATGCAGTCCGTTCTATGGATGCATTCCAGTTTATTTCCCTGAGCATCTCATGCGAGGCATTTAAGTTTGTTTATAACTGCCCAGGATTAAAAACATCTTGGCACGAACATTTCCCTTTGTCATTATCTTTTTAACAAAAGAGAATCCGTAATTATTTCCTCAAGATAACTCTTAAAAATTGATGGTCAAGGCTTATATTCATCTTTTTTTTTTCAGGATTTATTTTGTATCCATTAGAAGGTCAGATTTACAGAAAGAGAGATCTTCCAAGTTGTCTCCAACAGCCAGAGATGAGCCGATATGAACCTAAGAGTCAGGAGCTTCTTCCAGGTCTCCCACACGGTGCAGGGTCCCAAGGCTTTGGCCTGTCCTCAACTGCTTTCCGAGGCCTCAAGCAGGGAGCTGGATGGGAACTAGAGCAACCAGGACATGATCTAGTGCCCATTATGGGATCCCAGCCGTCGCAAGGCAAGGATTTACACACTGTGCTATTGCACTGGGCCCTATATTCATTTTTAAGGAAAGTTATTATTATTATTATTTTGATAGGTAAAAGAGAGATCCTCTGTCTGCTGGTTTAGTTCACTCCCTAAATGGCTGCAGTGGCGGGGGCTGGGCCAAAGTGCCCACCTTTGAAACTGGGAAGAACCACATGGATCCTCAAGGGTCGAGGTGCTCCTGGCATCTCATAGGAAGGCTGCTGGACATCCCAGAACAGCCCCGAATGGTGCTGGTGCTAGGTATGAGAACCACCCAGGTGTCACCTGGCTGGAGTGCTTGTTCTTTGTCACGCTTTCTTTTCTGCAGGAACTCACACACCTTCCCATGCATGTCTGCCTTGCTTTAAGAAGCATATTCCATCATCCCCGCCCCACCACCAGAGGCTCCCCAGGGCGTGGCCGTTCATGAGGACTGCCTCTGGCAAAGCAGGGTTTTTGTTTGTTTATTTTTAAATCTCATTACTCCTGAAATAAAAACCACTTAAGGAGTGGACAAAGACCTTGCAATTAAGAAGCCTGAATTAAAAAAAAAGTCTGCATCTAATGTTGAAGTGCTTGAGTTGGAGATCCAACTCTGCCACTTGATTACAGCTGCCTGTTACTGTGAGGGACCCTTTGGGTCAGTGGGCAGGGTTCCAGTGATGGGGTTCTTGCCACCCGCGTGGGATACCTGGGTTGTCTTAGCCTTGCTCCGGCTGTCAGCCAAGAGAGGAGGGACCTCTCTGCCTCTTGAGTAAGACAAAGCAAAAATACCTCAATGCATATGGAGATTTTCAACATTGTGTGTCACGTGACTAATTTGAACACTAAGTGCTATTAAGATGTTTATTTTGAGGATCAGCATTGTGGCGTAGCACATAAAAAGCCTGCACCTGCAGACTGGCATCCTACCTAGATGGGTGGTGTTTCAAGTCCGGCCTGTTCCACTTCTGGCTAATCTCTCTGCTAATGGCCTGGAAGGAGCAGCAGAGCATGACCCAAATGCTTGGGCTGCATAGAATAAACCTGGCCTGACCCAACCCTGGCAGTCATGGCCGAGTAGGGAGTGAGCTAGAGGATGACAAATTCTGTGTGTGTGTGTGTGTGTGTGTCTGTGTGTGTGTCTCCCACTCTGTCTCTGTAATTTGTGTGTGTCTCTACCTTCACCTCTGTAATTCTGATTTTCAAAATAAATGAATAAATATCGTAAAGACTGTTTTTAAAACATGGTTTAATCATATACTGTGAAAAGTCTTGCTTTCAGTTTCTCTGAGTCCTAGGATGATTAGGCTAGAATGACTTCCTTATGAAACCATCCACTGGAGGAGGCTTCGGTTTGATGACTTGGACACAAAATTAAAGTTTTACACTTACGTGATCATTGCACCTGCTTGGTAAAGGCAATAAAAATTTTTGAATTCAGAACTGAGCCTGCCTTGTGTTTTAGTAGCAATGATTTGGCCCTCACGTGCCCTGCTTTGTTTGGTTTAGTGCCTGTCCTCTGCCACAGTGTGATTTCTGGTCACATTTGGTGTGGTTAGAATGCGTGCCTCGGAGTTCATTTGCGGGAGTCTGAACCCTGATGTGACTGTGTTGCGAAAGGGAACCTAACTCAGTGTTCCTGAGCGGGTGTGGGGGTGACCACTGGAGGGGGCAAGTTACCAGGAGAGGGGGATTGTTGCTTGCTCGCTTGTCCTTCTGCCCCCTTGTGGGATGGTGCAGCAAGAAAGTGCCTTGGTGTTGGATTGCTCAGATTTCAGAAACCTAATTAAGAAATCTCTGCATTTTGTCAATTGCCCAGGCTTTGGTATTCTGTTATAGCAGCAGAAAGTAGACCAAGACACAGTATTAGTGAAAATACGCACACACAGTATTTAAGTGTGTATTCATTTTTAAGCACTTTGTATTAAATACTCTTAAGAGAGTGGGAGGAGAATCATTTGAAATAAGTAAATTAAAGTTTTGATCTTATTCAAAGAGGGAGATTTTTGGGGGAGGGGGAAATATTTATGTAATTAAAGACAGCCAGCTAGGATATTTTGGGGGGGGGCAGATTTTCGGTACCAGGGCATTTGGGATGGATATGAAGCGAATGGGTTCCTGTTTAAACTGTCTTGTTCTTAGCACTGAATGCTCTCTGAAACTCAAAGCCAGACATTAGAGGGACAGGTAAACATTGGTAGCCCCTCCTGGGCTTGGGTTTCTGGAGCTTAGGCTGTGTGCTGTGTGCTGGAAGAGGCCCTCAGTGATTCTCAAAATCATTTCGAAAGATGGGCTAAATGTAGTTCTGGGTTTTCTACCAAAAGGGAAAGGTTATTACCAAGGGCTTTTTTTTTTTTTTAAGATTTATTTATTTTTATTGGAAAGGCAGATGTATAGAAAGGAGGAGAGACAGAGAGGAAGATCTTCCATCCGATGATTCACTCCCCAAGTCACCACAATGGCCGGTGCCGTGCCAGTCCGAAGCTAGGAGCCAGGAACTTCCTTCCAGGTCTCCCATGCGGGTGCAGGGTCCCAATGCTCTGGGCCATCCTCGACTGCTTCCCCCAGGCCACAAGCAGGGAGCTGGATGGGAAGTGGAGCTGCTGGAATTAGAACTGGAGCCCATATGGGATCCCGGCACATTCAAGGCAAGGACTTTAACCGCTAAGCTATTGCACTGGGCCCCAAGGGTTTTGTTATTACCCATTCTTTTTTTTTTAAATTTATTTATTTTTATTACAAAGTCAGATATACAGAGAGGAGGAGAGACAGAGAGGAAGATCTTCCATCCATGATTCACTCCCCAAGTGAGCGCAACGGCTGATGCTATGCCATTCCGAAACCAGGATCCAGGAACCTCTTCCGGGTATCCCACACAGGTGCAGGGTCCCAAAGCTTTGGGCTGTCCAGGCCACAAGCAGGGAGCTGGATGGGAAGTGGAGCCACCGGGATTAGAACCGGCGCCCTTATGGGATCCTGGGGAGTTCAAGGCGAGGACCCTAGCCGCTAGGCCATGAGGCCAGGCCCCTACCCATTCTTTCTTTACCTCCAATGCATCTTGTGACCCAGCCCAATTTACCATTTCATTCATTAATGCGCACACAGCTATATCTGTAAAAATAAATATAGCCTTTTAGCTGGTGCATTTTTACATCTATACCCAGTATATGTTTTCATTTTAGTACCCAAGTTTACCATCTCATGAGACAGTAAGAAATGTCTTATAAATATATAAAATGAGTTACCACTTCTGGGGTTAAAAAAGGCAATAGGGCCTGTGTTTAGAATAAGGTAGGTTACTAATGGCTGTAAGTTACATCAGAATCTCTTGTGATGTAATTTAGATGCTATCGTCTGCGTTAAGAAAAATCAGAAAATTCCTAGGAAGACAACACTTAAAAATTGAGAGCGGTCATCTCTGTGTGGGTGCACTCAGAACTCGTGGGCTGATTGAGAAAGTGGCAAGGACTTAGCCACTAGACTGCTGTGCTGGCCTTAAAAGTAGGCAAATCTTTTTATTTATTATTTTTTAATCTATTATTTTTTTTATTTGGTTTTTCCATTTTTTATTTTTTACAATCTTTACATAGTTAATTAGGGTAAAAAGGTTCAAAGGCTACAGGAAAGTGGGTAAGACTGTTATTTCCATATTGTTTTCTTCATGTATCTGGGGTAAAGGGGGATTTTAAGGGAGAAGCCCCACCCAGTCTCCCACCCACCCCTGGTGCCTGATGTGGGGCATGCTCCAGGGTTCTTGCTCAAGTGGTTCTGATAGTTCAGCAGTTCTGAATTGTTGCCAGTCTCGCCACTCCAAGCACGGTGAGGTCGTTGAAGAATCCACTGATTGACACAGTCCCTCATAGAGTCTCTGTTTGCCCAGTTTTTCACTGCCAACATATAACTGAGGTGGCTGATTGACTTGTTCTGTCTTCTGTCTTTTCATGGTTAGGGTTCTGAGTCTGGCAGTTTGACTGGGGAGATCCCCAAAGAAACGTTGTCAGGTGTTTCTAGACCAGATTCCGGTATGTGCTAGCAAGTACAGTGCCCCCCACAGTGCATGGCCCTGATCAGCTGGTGGTTGCAATTGCTGAGTTGGTTCTGTTTCTAACCCTGACTTCCAAAAGTAGGCAAATCTTATAGTCTGGCAAAATTCATAAATCTAGCTTTATGAAACCACACACACACACATACAATGTTAAGAATATATTAAGTGCTAACTTCATAAACATTTTTTTTTTGTAGGTGGAAAAACTGGTGGATCCGTGGGATTCTGACTCTAACCATGATTTCGATGTTTTTCCTAATCATCTACATGGGATCCTTTATGCTGATGCTTCTTGTAAGTGATGTGATCTTCAATGTATCTTGCTCTCATCTTAACTATATGTGGATTAAGTCATTTGACCTTGTCACAAAATGGAAGATAATGCGAGACTTGTCAACACCACATTTAGTTCTAGTTCATAAAGTGACTGGGCTTATCCCTTCTGCTTGCAAAATGACCTTTTGTTGTGTGATCAGTTTATATATGTGCACACACACGTGCATACACACACACACCCCTGCACACAGACACACACACACAGACCCAGTGTGTCTAATCGTTGCAGGTTTGTCCCACACTGGGCTGAGCATTAGCCAGAAGGAATACACATGTGACTTCAGCATAGGCATCTGCTGGCCAGATCTCCAGCTGCAAGGGACTCAGTGTAACAGCAGAGGTGTACAAGTAACCGTGTGACCTGGGTAGTGCAAGAATAGAGAGGGTCAGTGCTGTGCAGAGCGTGCCAGGAGAGCACAGCCATCCAGTCCGAGGGAGAGATGAGGAAGGGCTTCCGGAAGGTGGTGCCTGTGCAGGGTTTACATTGGCAGCTAATGTTCTGGTTCTGCTTTGTTGTGAATGGCACTGTTCTGAACATACCAGAGCATACACCTGCTCTGTTTCCATCCGCAGGGTGATTTTCTTAGGCTGCATGTTCAAAGTGGAAGTAGCCATCTCGTAGGTTCCCTAGTCTGCCTGTGTCCTTCTGTCCCCTCTCCCAGCCATCCTACACGAGTGTGTCTGCTTTCCTAAGCCTTGCTCATGTCATTCTGTCTTCCTTTCTTTCTGAGATCCCATGTTGGGAGTGGGTGTATGTCCCTTACAGCGCCTCATCCCTACCTAAAAGTGGACTCACAGGACACATGTGGTACATTTGGACATGACTGCACTTCCTCCCGGGGCTGCCACACGTCAGCCACACTGTCCTTGCCTCTCTATCCACCTGCTTCCCTGTGCTGCATAGTGGGCGTTCCTTCTCTGATAGCCGCCTTCTCTCCGGGAACAGAGACCCATTGGTATTTCTGTGAGTCCTCATTAGCTAGTCATCTTAGGACTCTCAGCACATTTGCTGAGTCCGTGAGCCTAACAAGTGTCCACTGTCCTGCGTGTTGACAGTGGGGCGCTTCAGCTGCCCCTGCCTCACCTCTGCAGCATACTCACTTGTTTCGAGGACTTTAAGGCCTTTGAATGCCCTGTTTCCTGTTTTCCTAGAAATCTCTTATGAGTTCTTCTTGCAAGCTCAAGTTCATAATCATATAAATACGTTTGTGCTATCAGAATTTCTTCCCCCACCATATCCAGTGCTCATGGCTGTTCTTCAGCAGATGTGTTCATAGAGATCACATGTATGTGATATTTAAAACTCTCTCTTCCAAACAAATGAATACTTACTTAAAAAAAGAGTGTGACCAGCAACAACCAAGCACAAGCAGAAGCAATGAGAAATGCACGCGGGTGTTTTCTCTGGTTTCAGGTCCTCGGCATCCAGGTGAAATGCTTCCATGAAATCATCACCATCGGGTACAGAGTCTATCATTCGTATGATCTCCCGTGGTTCAGGACACTAAGCTGGTAAGGAAACTGTTTGAGACAGCAAAATTGGATTATCTGCTCAAATTTGTCTTACGGGTCCACTTTATAGAAAAATTTTTGAAAAATGTGATTGAATCTTAGAAAGAAAAAAGGATGTTAACCCTTCCATTTCAACATTTTGACCATGTTTGAGTCTAGATAACTAAATGTAATTTATATTGAGTATATATACCATTCTTACCCTTTGAAAAGCTTCGACAGTGTACTGGATGCATTTTTTCTTTTTTTATAATCATAATTTTAGCAGCAAATTAAATCATTATTCTTTCCTCATTTCCTGTCAGCTGATATGAGACTGCAGAGTAGGGCATGTCAGATTGGCAGAAAAAAAATGACCAAATGCTTTTAGTAGCCAAACTTTTATATATTTCAAATAAACTTCAGCAGAGGGAATGTAGGGTGGCAAGTATAATTATGCTGTTAAACTTGTAAAAATGAAGTACATGAAATATGTTCTCTTTATATGAATCTGAAAAATTCTTTTAAAATTTTCAGTTATAGTTCGTAACTGTGAGCATTAATTTAATATGAACTGTAACTGAGACAGTACAGTAATATAGTTTGTGTTGAACCTGTGTGGCTGTGTGCTTTTTCTATGGTTGGTTGATTAGCATACCAGCCAAGGGTGCAGTGGCTTCTGAAAACAGGTGTATCACCTTTGGGATCTAGAAGAGTGATGAAGTCATTTCTTGATTTTATTGTTCGCTCCTTTTCCCTGGTAGCAGTTTTCTGCGTGAGCATCAGGGGTAGATAAAGCCACTGGGGATGAATGCTGAGCCATGCGGGCTGGGTTCTAAGGGCAGGAAAAGAGCAGCCAGATCCGGACAGGCTCTCGTATGTATAGAAGGCTTCCTAGAAGAGCTGGGAGGGAGGAGTGTCTTCTGGGTTGGTGAAATGACACACAGCCAGTTCCTGCCATGGCCCATGCTCCTACTGGTCAGCCTCCTGCCTTCTAGGCCGCCGCAGTTTTTTAGGGATTAGTGAACCGTACGGAGGAGTCAGCCATGGTTGCCGTCGTTGCAAGGCAGAAGAGCAGTTGTGCCGTTGATGGAGGTGGAAATAACTCGCCTTTTCCTTTTGGAATGGGGTCTGCTTCCACAGGTGGCATGTTTGATTACTGGTGGGGAAACCATCCCAGAGCCATGGCACTGCTCTCCTGGCTCCTGGGCCCTGCGCTCCTGTGGACAAGGCCTTGAGAGACCCTACAGACCATTTCTCAGCCTCTTTCCTGATCTACTTAGACTCCCATCAGCAAAATCTGCAGGCCTTCACCTCTCCCCAGAGAGGGACCACACCAGCACTGGGATGATCTGTGCTATTCCTCTGGTTGTACCATCCCCCCTCCTACATCACAAGAATTGCTGCTCAGCCAGATCCTGCCCTGGGTTCTAGAGAGAGGAGAGAGAGGACAGCACATCCAGGGCAGGGACAAATTGGAACTGCCTCACTCTCCCCTTCTCCTCTTCTAAGGGCAGCAGGCAGTGAGTGTTGGGATTATGGCTGTGAGTGGTTGGAAATTACTTTTCATTGTGTGTGTGTGTATATAGAAAAATCTGTTATGTCTGTGCAGCATTTTTTACATTATTTGTGTCTTCTTAAGATTTTAGGTTAGCTAAAAAGCCTAAGTTATATTTAGTAGATTGTTGATGACTTTTTTTTTTTTGCTGTCATCTATACCATGTTTTATTGTTTAAAATTTTTTTTTTTTACATTTACAATTTTCTTTTTAATATTACTTACAAAACTGAGAAGGATGCTTGCCCATGTGGGCCTCTAATTAGGGCAGGGATATTCAGGTACCCAGGAAGGTGGGTAAGGCAGATGCTTCAAGCTTTTTATTTCTCCTGCACCCACAGGGGAGGAGGCTGCTGGTTTCTGTCAAGCTTGATCAGCACCCAGGGGTGGGAGTTATTTGATGATGCCTTAGAGAGCCCGATGTGGGGAAAAGTATCCTTATGGTGTTACTGGAATGGTTTGGATAATCCCGAGAGTTTGTTGGTTTTCATGCTCCACTACTGAGAAAATCTTTCCAAGGTCTATTGGCCCACAGAGTCTACCTTAGTGCATCCACAGACCCAGGAACACGCTGCATAGCTTGGCCAAGAGAACTGTCCAACCTGTTCTGCTTCCCATCCCTTGCTGGCCTAGATGAGCTGGCTGTTGTGTCCCCAGTGTGTCTGTACATGCTGTCAACTGAGCAGGCATCAGTCGCTCAGGAGACCCAGTCCTGACTTATACACTACCAGATTAGCCCATACATCCTGAGACTTTTCTCTGTGATTAGAGGCTCAGTCCAGCAGTCTAGTTAGGGAGTCTCCCAAGAAACCTTGCCTTGGGTGACCTCAGACCTAACTCTTGTATGCACCAGCCAGTGCAGGGTCAGGTTCAATTTGTTACCTACAGCAGCTAGTACATATACCAGTGGATGCCACCTGCCTGGCCCAGCATCCATTTCTGCTCTTGCTGAGGGTGCAGCAGCCTAGTCCATCCTGGCCCATCCCTAGACCCAGCTCTTATGGGACTCATTGGGTGTGGTGGCCTTGCCTGGCCTGTCCTATATCCATTCTGACTTTTGCAAGTGCCATTGTGTGCTAGAGCCACTTACATCAGGACCTTGCCAGATGCAGCCCACCAATGAGTGCTGCAACTTTGCCCACCCTATTCTTCCCACAGCCCTAGTTCTTGCATTCGCCAGTAGGAGTTGCAGCCAAGCAGGCGAATCCCCAGAGTTCCCTCACCAAGCTAGCTTCCATCCCTGGGTCTTATGTATGCTCATGGGTGCTTTGACCAAGCCTGGCATGACTTGACTGCAGTCTCAACAGTTGCTGGCAGATACTGTAGCCTAGCCCAGCTGGCCATAGCCTACACATTGTCCTGGCTCTTGTGCATGCCACCAGGTTCTGCAGCCTGGCCCAGCGCAGCCTAGCTCCAGATCTGGCCCATACAAATACTGAAGAGTGCTGCAACTCTGCCTGGCCTGGCCCACCCCCAGCCTTTGTGTTCCCCAGTGGGAGCTACAGCCTGGTATGGGAGATCCCCAAGTTCCCTGCCAGGCCTGCTCCTATCCCCAGATCCTGTGTGTGCCAGTGAGTGCCGTATCCTTGCTTGGCATAGTTTGCCTTCAGTCCTGGCCTTTGCATGTGCTGATGGGTGCTGCAGCCTGGCCCAGCCCGGCTGCCTCTCAGCACTAGCTCCTACTGATGTTAGGTTCCTGTGAGGTGAGTTCTGTGGTCCAGCCTAGCTTGGCCTTTTAGCATCTGCCAGCTTTCCATCTTAACTGGCAGGGGCTGCAGATCTGCAGAAGTGAGTCCACAAGTGCCCTACAGAATATAATCCTGGATCTGTTTTCTCCCGCATTTTGGTGGGTGCTGTGGCCCAGCCTGATGGCCCACCCTCTGTCCCAATACTCACAGTTAGGTACTGCGGTCTTGTCCAACTAGGCATGTCTCCCAGCCCTACCTTTTGCTTGCACCAGTGGGCAGTGGGCAATGCTATTTATCCCAGCCTAGGTCTCCCACATGGATAGAGACTTTGGCCTGACCCAAACATGCCCTCTGGTTTTCCCCTCTCTGAGCCACTCTGTTTTTGCTGTCTTGCCTCTCTGAGAGTACAGTGGCCTAGTCCATGGAAGACCCCCAGTAGTCATTTCTCCCCTGTCAAATATGCCCTCAAGTTGCTCCCACTTCAATACATCCCAGATCCCCATCACTGAGTAATCTGCAGCCTGGGATACTGGGGCATGTGGGTGGGTAGGAGGCGTGTCCTGGCCTGGTGTTTCCTGCCTTCCCCATATACTTTTTTAAAAAAAAGAAATTATAAGCAACCATGCTGGCACACTGGTACAGGTAACACAAATTTGACATTAACCACCTCCAGAATTCCTGCCACCTCCCGGCTGCTTCTGTCCCAGCAGTGAAACTCTTGCCTAGCTGCAAGGCAAACTAAGCAGTTGCCTAGAGTTGAAGTGTTGTTGACTGTTAACCTTTGAGACTTAGTTTTAAGCAAGAAAATTGTGTTTTAGCCGAATACATCTTGAATTGATCCTCTTAATTTAATTTTGATTATTGTCTTATCACTAAAATGAATAGAGTATTTCGTTTGAAATTGAAGGACGTTTTCAGTATAAAATGATCATTGTTTTTAAATTATAGGTACTTCCTATTGTGTGTAAACTACTTTTTCTATGGAGAGACTGTTGCAGATTATTTTGCTACGTTTGTCCAAAGAGAAGAACAGCTTCAGTTCCTCATTCGCTACCACAGATTTATATCATTTGCCCTTTATCTGGCAGGTAAGAGAAAATACTCTGGTGGGCTATGTAGCCAACATGTTTTCCATGCACATTTTTACTTATTTAAATTCATGACATCACTTATTTGTTTCATTCTAGTCCAGCCTCTCATTTTGTTTCTTGTAGATGAAGTAATTTCTTCCATCACTTTTTAACAAGAGATTTACAGAGAGAGAGAGAGAGAGGTCTTCCATGTGCTAGTTCATTCTCCAAATGTCTGCTGTGGCCATCGCTGGGCCAATCCAAAGCCAGGAGCTTTGCCTGGGGTATCTCATGAGGGTGGAAGTGCTCAAGCAATTGGGTCTGCCTCCACTGCTTTCCCAGGCTCATTAGCAGGAAGCTGGTGTGGGAGAAGAGCAGCTGGTACTCGAACTGGTGCCCATATGGGGTACTGGCACCTCAGGTGGAGGCTTAATGGGCTATGCCCCATAGCTGACCCTTCATCATGGTCTTAAATAACGGTACTTGATTAATAACCACCCTGTGTATTTGAAATTTTTCTTTATTATGTGTAAGAAGGAATTTCTAAATATATAGTGACTATTATTCCAATGTAGTTTACGAAGAAACTTTTGTGTACATATGCTACTTTATTTGTCTCTAGGCAATAGGGCTTTCATATAGAATCAATCAGGATAGTTACTTTGGCTAATTATGGTTTTGTATGTACAACAGCATTGCTTGTGCTATATTGTGCTGTGTATTTTTATGATTTTCAGATTAAAATTAGATATTTTACTTAAATGAAGAATTAACTGGTTTCTTTTCCATGAAATTTTATAGATCCTAAAAGAAAATCTCTAAGAATTAAATACATATCAGAATATCTTGTCTACAAAAATCTTTTATTTATTTGAAAGAGTTGCAGTAAGAGAAGGAATAGGGAGGTGGGGAGAGAGGGGGGATGAGAGTTCAACCTGCCATCTGCCGGGGTTAAACGGCGGCAGCTACCAGGGCTGGGCAGGACGGAGCCAGGTGAAAGCCGGGAGCGTCATCCATGGCTCTTCCTTGAGTGGTGGGGCTCAAACACGGGAGCCATCTTCAGCTCCCATTTACTGCGTTAGACATGGACTCGAACTAGCACCTGTATGCGGTGAGCACCACAGTCAGTGTCTTTACAAACTGTGCCACAATCCTAGCTCCTGGGATCACTCTTTAAAGGACAGCTTGCTTAGCTGAATATGGCTCCACTGCTGCTTTAGCTGAGTACTCCTTGGGAAATTGATTTGTTTTGACCCTCTAGGGACATTATGAGGCACTATTTCAGTATTACTGATAGTCTTATTTTCTCCTACTTATTTAAAGTAGGAAATGAAGCTTCTGAGGTCTCGTTTTAGCTGTCCCTAGTTATTTTAGATCCTAAGATAGTTTCTCAGTGCATCTTGGAAAGCGTGTCGACCACCCTGGAGCCGTGGTGTACCTGCAGGGATGTTGGGATTTAATAAGGGCCGCTTCAGTTCTGAGACCTGTGGTCCTACATAGGAGGAAGAACATGAAACAGTCTGGAGTGATGCTGACCTTGAGGGATCACGGGGTTGGGTTGGGTTGGTTTGGTTTGATGGGATAGTGACCACGTTTTCTGGGGGATTTTTTTTCTGTTTTCACATTCTTGTTTTTTCTTTTGTTTTCTGCCAGTGTTTCTTAAAGACTTACTGATTTATTTGAAAGGTCGAGTTGAAAGAGGAGAGGTGGTGGAGGTGAGGGAGGGAGAGAAACAGAGCTTACAACCTGCGGGCTCACTCAGCACCTGCCCATAACAGCCAGGAGCTCTGTCCAGGGTCCCATGCCCAGGGACCCCAGAACTTGGAACTTCTTCTCTTGTTTTCCAAGGTGTAGAAACTGCATCAGAATTGGAGCAGTCAGAACACTAACAGATCCAAAAGACTAAGATTGTGAACAGCAACCCTGGGCTCCGCCATTTTCAGATTTAAAAAAAATCTGAGTAAAAAGCTTATTTCTTAATTTATGTTAGACATTATCTACTTGTTGAAACCTTTCTCCCTGCCTTGACCTGACTCAGGTTTTTATGGTCATTGTTTATTGAATAGGTCCCTAAGACATCATTTCCTAGGAGCCGAGCCTTATCTGTGATCACGTTGCCCTTCTTGGGAGCTGGTTGGGAGGTTCTAGCAGGGGAGCACAGCTACTCATATTCCCTTGACCAAAGACTAGTCCTCCTCTAGTGGGGAAGGTCGTCCTCTTCCACTCTGCGCGCGGCTTCGGGAGGGACACACATGGAGCGCCGAGGGAGGAAGGAGACTTCCCTTGCCAGCCAGATCAGTCGAATCAACCCTGCTGAGCACTGGGGTGACAGCTGTCGCATCAGGTCACCCCTCACCTTCCCCATTACCATTCTTTTCCAGCTGTTCATTTTCCCCCAACCTAGCTACTGCCTCACCTTCTCTTTTCTGTGTAAGTTTTGGTATGAAGATCCCTCATTTTTCCCTCTGTCCTATGTCTGTCTTTGGTAGTTTCCACAATGTCTACCCATCATCAGTTCCCTTCAGTTTCCCATTAGTTTCATCCTGGAAACTAGGCTTGCTGGATCTGTGTCCGTGGCTGCTTGGGTCTGGGCTCCTGTTTCTTCCATCTTGCACCTTCCAGTTCCTTGGTTAATACGTTAGCTTTGCGGAAGCATGACCTCCGGGATTTGTCTATGAAATGAAGCATGGTAGACAAATGCCTTATTTAGATTCATGCCCTTTTGGAAATACCTGTGGTGTGATCTCACAGGCGGTTGCTGTGGTGAATGCTTCCCCGTGATGGGCTTGCACACAGCACTCCAGGAACCCAAGCCTCGCACTCGGCTCCCTCTGAGTCTTCTCCTTAGTTTTTCTGGAAAAGGCCTTGAATGGTTTCTTGGTCCTGCTAAAAGTTACCCCTTTGTCAGATTTCTTGATAGGGTCCTTCTCGTTGTTGACATTTCTCCAGTTCTCATTGTTATTGAGTTTTTCTTTTTACCTTAATTTCTTTTCATGTTATTCTTGTGGAATATCGTGATGCAGGAGGAATAAGTACCTTGATAAAGGCAAAGCCTCACCCAGGCTTTTATTTTTCTCCTGGCTTCAAAGCATTTATTGCTTTCTGTCTCAGCCCTGTGGTACGACTGGGCTTACCTGGGCATTTCCAGCTTATGGCTTTTCTTAGGATAGTGATAGGATAAAGGCTGGCTCAGTAGTCACTTAAATCATCTAAGTAGGCTGCTCAAATGGCTCTTGTGGCTGCAGGCATGCTCGTTGTTGACCTGAGAGCACCTACCTGTGGGCTCTTAGTGTGGCTTTAACATCTTAGTTTGTAGTGACTGGATTCCAAGCAGAACTATTTGCTCACAGAATTCTAAACTTTTTGAAAAAAGATTATTTATTTTCATTGCAAAGACAGATTTGCAGAGGGCAGAAATGGAGAGAAATCTTTTGGTTTTGGAATCTACTGGTTCACTCCCCAAATAGCCATAGTGGTTGGAGCTGAGCCAGTTCACAGCCAGCAGCCAGGAGCTCCCTCCAGGTCTCCCACATGGGTTCAGGATTCCAAGCCTTTCGGCCATCTTCCAGTGCTTTTTCAGGCCACAGACAGGGAGCTGGATGGGACCTGGAGCATCTGGTACGTGAACCAGCATCCATATGGGATGCTGGCACTCAAAGGTGCAGGATTAGCTAATCAAACCATCATGCTATCCCTTAAACATCTTTTCTTTATTTGTTTAAGATTTATTATTTATTTTAAAGAGTTATCGTGAGAGAAGGAAAAGAGACAGAAAGACAGCTTCCATGTACTTGTTCACTCCCCAAGTGGTTGCAACAGCCAGGACTGGTTCAGGCTGAAACTTGGAGCCAAGAGCTTCCAGATCTCGTGCATGGGTTCAGGGACTTGAACCATTCTTCTCCGGCTTTCCACTGTTATCAGGGAACTGGACAGTAGCGAAGCAGCTCAGGTTCATATCAGCACCCATGTGAGATGGGTGGTATGGTAGGCAAAGGCTAAACTTGCTCAGTTACAACTAAACTTTTAAAAAATGGAAACATAATGTATACCCATAGTAAGAGTAGTATTCAATGACATCTTTTTCCAACCTGAGTGCCTTCCTTGCTGTCTCCAGTGACTTAGTCCTTTATTGCGGCAATGTTCTGAACGTTCAAGTTTATAATCCCTTCTGTGGTTTTGGTAGTACTGTGGGTGTCGAATGTCCTGCAGAGGTCTGTGTGCAAAGTACTTGACTCCCAGAGAATTAAGGTAACGCTGCTAAAAAGGTGGCGACTTAGTCTAGTTACAGAGTGTGAAAGCGGGGTCTTGGGGAACTGAATAGATTGGGTTGGGTCATTATAATGACTGAAGAAGACTGGTGGCTTTATAGAGTCCGTGTGGGGATAGATATAGTCCGTGGGGCACCGCCTTGGGAGCCCCCCAGCAGGAATGTGTTTCCTGGAGACCACCCAGGCTTAGACTGTGGTCCTCAGTAAGCTTTAACCTACCAAATTTGGCTGCCTCAGGCACTTTGTTCAAAATGTGCAAAGCTGACTAAAACACCCTTCCTTCCTCTTTGATTTTCAAAGATATAAATAGTAACAATTCTATACTCATTTTCACCACTTAATACGACTTATAGGTGATAGTTTTATATCGACACACCTAAATCTTGCTCATTTTATCTTCAGTTACTTACGTGTTTCTCCATAGCGATCTGTGACGGCTAGCAGGACATCCCACCAGGCGATTGCTGTTTCCACGTGACTGGCTGTGCCTTGCACTTGTGAACACTCTACTGCGGAGGAACAGATACAATTTATTTTGTTTGCTGTCTCTTTTATATGCATTTCCCCCATGAGAGCATCAACCCTGTTACAGTAACTGTGGGTTTCATACATTAAACTTTTTGACTGTACTTTTATAAATTGTGCATCCATACTTGTTTTTCTTGACAATACACTGACGTTTCTTAGCACTTGCTGCCGCCGGCTTGTGCAGTTACAAGAGCTCGTTGAAGGTTCTCAGAGTCATTCTTT